ATACGCGTTACTAGTATCCAATTATCAACAATTATTATCCAAATTTTCTCTTTACTGTTATTGTTATTGTCATGCTCCCGTAGTTTGCGCCATAATCTGGGAATGTGATGGGAATACTACTGTCAATTGCTGTTCCGAAACATTTTAAGAGCAACTTTATCAAGTTCGTTTGATACGGATCAGGTCCAGAAGGCCCGTCCACCTCCATTCAGGTTCCCTAATAAAAGTGGGAAAAGAAAAATGTTTCCTTCATGGGAATTTACTTTTTCTCCCGTCGTTGGTATTCCTTCATGGTACACCAGCGGTGACATTCCATGTGAAGAAATCCGGCTTTAATACGTATTAGTTCATTAACATCAGCTCTGCAAAGAAGTCACGCCGTTTGAAGTTCCTCCAGAATCATTTAGAATACCTAATTGATAGGTATTGAACAGATCTGCAACCCGTTTACTTCAGTCACTCTTTTGTTTTTGGATTTTTAATCCATATAAGAACAATTACTGCAGTAAGGTACACAAACCTGTCGTTTAGAAGTAGTTACAGTTGGCAGTATGTACTTTTGTTATACTTATATTGAAAATACTCGAAAAAAGTGGTGGAAAACCGTTACTGGTAAAGCCGTAAGAGTGACTTCTTATTGGTTTTGTTCTCCCTATGGATCCCTGAATGCAATTAGCAGATCGGAATTATTAGAAATAAAGTCTGAGGGATTAGAAAAGTGTATCATGAAAACGATAGGGAATTAATTTTTGTATTATAAATAGTATAACGACTACTTACCAGTAACGGATCGGTTTTGATTGGTTTGACTACATGATGAGTATTTCTTTGTCGGAAATTCTGATATCTTTCACTGATTCGAGGCAGTTTTCATGGGGATGCCTCTAACCCTACTGACCATTACTTTGAGGATGGTCGATGGGCATTAACAAGAGTTGGAGGAAGATTTGAAAGTTCTGTTCCATTCAGGATACACAAAAAGCAACTTCGACAATCCTCCACCACGAATTCTTCCATTTTCCGGTGTGAAACCATCGGTAAGTCGTCAATTTGTTTATGACTAACTTTACTGGTACTTTTGGAATGAGTTTCTGCCCTGACCATGAACTCAGCGCTACAATTTACTCGCTCAAATCACCGGCCGGCCGCTCACTAGGGTGCGCATCGTTCTTTGTTGGGGGGTATGGGCGACTGTGCGCACTACCACGCCGAAGGAGAAAACCCTCACTCTCAGGTCATTCAATCGTACTAAACACCATCAGAGTCTATCTTCACATTATCAGAGCCATCATTCGATCTAAATCGAACGAACCACTCAGTCATCGTCGCTGAAATCTTCTTTCGCTTGACGAAAAGCACTTGAATCTTCTTCATGTCCAGATGCCAGTTTGATGACTCTTTGGCAGCTGCTGTTTGCGATTGTTCTTGCCTCTCCGAGGAATTTCTCAAATCACCAAAGCTCTAAAATCGTTCATGACAACTCACATTTGTGAATCGATGTGTACACGAAGATAACGGTCACTATCGTATCGTTGGATCTGAACATTTGAAGGCGAAAAAAAACCGTCGACATGAGATCTAGGTGACCGTCGTCGTCGTCGTTGACGTCGTAGCGATGCTCTGCCGCCGACATTCGAACCACCTGTTTTTGTTGGGCTAAAACTACAGTATTACGGCATCATTCTGACTAATCAACGGCTATACTTCCCCCGTACAACGTGCGAATCGTTAATACCTCGGGGAACTTTCCCTCCGATTATTGCCCACGGAAAACTTCGAACCATTTCAGACTGATGGCCTAATCCGCCCGGTAGCATTTCGACCATTACCGTCATCACAAAACGACGATCCGTCATATCCTTCTGGCAATGCCAATCGTCTAGAACGACAAGTTATTCGAGGGTATGTAATTGTTTTGTTACAGTTTTTCTTGGTATAGTTAGGGTAAATAAACAACAACAACTACAACAACCCAATCTAAAGTTCATTCAGTCAACTAGAGTACATTTTACAGACACAAAATTTGTAGAACCCCCTTTTTGTATGCGCACATGCATTACACTTGATGTTGACATGTTTGTTTATATGTTTACTTAGATATTTACTTCTCTACAGCACAAGAATGTCCCACATCGCTTTGAATGGTAGCAGACAGGTGCCAAAGGGAATGACAAAGCGAAACCATGGGTTTCCCACTTTTGGACTGAAAATTTGCCTGCCCCTACGCTGACCTCTGCCCGTAAAATTCAGAAGCGACCTTGGGTACTATGCAGTAATGTAGGACTGTGAACAATTACAAAAAAGTAACTCAAACTATTTTTCGATGCGATGTTGTGTTACGAGCTCCTGAGGTACCTCTTACGGTACCCATGATGGAATAGTTTGAAACGGTGGACACAAGACGGTGCGGACCCAAGGAGGGAGTAGATTCTTTAGTTTTATGCTTTATTTATTTGTTTACCCACATATTTATTCATCTACTCGAGTACAAAATAAGAATACCCTTATATGTATAAGACTAGTAATGACCGGCACCATAACTACGGATGAGCAGCCGCTACCATAGTTGTACACCTGTCGTCCACAGTAGTAAAGGTCACCCATTTCAGGGTTGAGTACATGGCACATACCCATCTAGGGTGGGAACGCAATAATCCAGTATCAACTAACGCTTTCTAAGATTCCTCAGGGGGAAATTCTAGACGACGTAAACCATTTGGTCTCTCCTCTAGTAGGGAGTGGTACTTAAGCATTATGAGGGCAAAGCATTTATGTTGGCGGTGTTGAATTTCATCTACACTTATTCTACTTACACCATCCGCGTGCGTATTTCCCTAATGGCAATTTCCCTTGCTTTCAGGGACTCGACCAAATCGACAACGAATATGAGTCAATTGATTAGTACACAGATACAGAAAAGTCGGGTCATGTTTCAACCGAGTACGAGGTGATTACTTTTTTAATTTTTCAGTCTATTTTTACCACTTACCGAATTGTCCTTCCTGTCAGAACCCCTGTTGTATTTATCATTCTCCGGAAGGAAAACTGAGAGAAGATGGAAGGTACTGAAACTAAGAGTAACCAGGAGGATCGTAAGTTTCGAGCTGCCACTACACATGCGGCCCTCCTTCGGACTTTTGGTTTTTGCTGGAATTACACCATGTTGAACAAAAAATGTAATAAAATCACGCTCGTAGTGTGTGGTAGTCGCCTTCAGTCCCGCTTATTCTTCAACTTTCACTTTTACCCCATACCATTTCTAGTTTAACTTGTCAAATAAGTCAATCAATTTGAGAACTTCTTTTATACGGTCTTAGATACTGTTATGGCAGTACTACAGATACATAGATTCAAGGTAAAACTCTAGAGCAGTAAGCAGGTCTGATAAATGGCATTTCAACCGTTGTACAAAGGACCAAATTCTCATTTTTTGTGGTTTTTGTTTTGGTTAGGTTAACATAACCTCAGATATTTTGTTTCTTCTCCGCTTTCATTTTTCTACTGTTTCTGGGGTAGTCGCAACTTTTGGAAAGTTGCCAATGTAACTTAACTCAATTACGAGTTCTTTGCATAGGAATGAACAAGGACGTAGAAGGTGTAGTGGTCAGTGGCGCATTATCTCACACGCAAGGTCAAGGATTTCGAATCCTGGGTCGGCTTTAGCCTAGGCCAACTAAGGTTTCCATCTACCCGGTTTGATTTGCACCAAACTTGTATGGGAGGGTAAAAGCACTGACTCGTACATCGGCATTCCACCGCAAGTCATTGTATGGGCCGCATACGCATTCAATACGCCACTACGATTCTGAATTGAAGTCGAATGCGGGGCGCATTCCTCTGACGGCGTTGATTGACGGCAAAAAACTTAGTTCTCTTTATCCTTCAGGGACGAGGAGGTTACCAGTTTAGGTCATTTCAAATGTACAGTTTGTCGATAATTTGTCTAAAAGGAGGGAATTCAATTACAGTTACATTCCAAGCACCAAACTTTTGCTTCCAAATTGCAAAGTGAAGACGCATATTCTAGGCGTATCTAACGGTTTGGACTTCCAAGCTGAAATTACTGGTTTAGTTAGGCGAGGTTTAGGCCTCCAAAATTGCATACCATACGGATGACTAAATCAAGGATTAGGTGGATTATTAGGGGATCCACAATGGAAGCACATAATTGTTATGAGAACCAGTACATACAATCGAAAGGATTATGTGCAAGGAATGTACCAGAACCTCGGAGCTAAAGCAGTAATATGAAATATTATACAAAAAAAGGATAAAGAATAAAGTCTCTAGACGTTAGAATCCGACTAAGGGATGCGCCCCGCATTCGACTTCCATTCGGAATCGTAGTGACGTATTGAATGCGTATGTGGTCTATACAATGACTGGTAGTGGACAGCCGTAAGTACTAGTCAGTGCTTTTGTCCTCCCAGACGAGTCTGGTAAAAGTTGACCCACCTCGGATGCATGGAACGCTCGCTTAGCCTAGAAGGATAGCCAGGAGTCGAACCCGTGACCACGCGTGTGAAGTGCTCGATTTGCCACTACATCTCGGCCCAAATTGCACAATAATCAATTAAAAAATAAATTGCTCACACATCAAGCTACAGTTTGATCTTTTGAGATATTTGAGATATGATTTAAGTGTAGAGTGATATTTCACTCAATCAATGCTTCAATCTGTATTTTTTCCTTTCGCATCCTCACTTTATACCCCCACATAGACCACCCACGAAGGAGAAACGTTAGGTCTCTCTTACAATTTGTTGCATTTCATTTCGGAACCCGGCCGGGTACCTTTTGTAAATTAATAGTTTTTTTCAGCTTCACTTCACAAAAACCGCAAGAAAACGAATATGATACTGTTCCCGACTATATGGAAAAAGAAAAAATGAGTGATTGTACGTTTCTCTATAAATTTGTAATTTTACTTGAATTTTTATTTTTTCCATATTTCTTTCTGTATCTAGCCACAGTATCGTTCTGAGTTTCAGTGGTTTCACTCGGAACTGATTTTACTTGCCTCAAATCACTTTGTCCGGCACTACTCAATTTTAAATTTAGTTGGTTCCTCTGCTTCTGATTATGGCTCCTACCATCATGTCCAACAGCCTACCAAGATGACGTCATCTACAGTATCCAGTGGGACTCACAGCTCAGGAAGTCAGCTGTCGAGTCCACCTAGCACTAATAAGGTAATCGTTGAAGATGCAGTAAACTGATGAACATACTGAAATCCTGAAACTCCATCCTGAAATGGTGGCATGTAGGGCTCCTCAGGTTTTCAACCGACGCTACAGAGTAATATAACTTGTAGTTGTTATTAAACGCAAAGAGGTTTCAATGAATTTTCGGAGTCGTAGCGGGAACCTGTTAGTCTCCCAGCGGGTCGGCTATCCGTGCTTTCGAAACCCCACAGGGATGATATGGCCCATGCAGGGCGTAACTCTCAGACTTACTGAAGAGAAAAACGTTTAAACCTAAAAAAATTTGTATTTTTGGGGGGGGGGGGGGGATGCGTTGAGGGGAGGGGTATGGGAGGATGGTAGGGAGAATCGGTTGTGGACGAGGGGAGGCTGTACTTTGCTAGGAGTTTTAAAAAATGGAAAAATCAATACATTTTAAAAGTATTTTTGTAGCTGGAGTAACAAATAATGAAAAAAGTGCTATTTCAGAAGACAACTTACCCAACATCTGGCCGAGTCTCCGCTCTCCACGTTACTCCTTCACCCAGTGACTCCGGCATAGTTGATTATGAGGTAATTAAAATAACTTGACTTATTTATTTACTGCTCCATTGATTATGTCTTTCAAAGAGTCCTACTTGCCAGTTTTTAGAAACTCTACCCTTTGCAGACCCTAATTCGAGACAAAGAAAACGAGCTTAGGGTGGTAAGGAACACAATGGAGCAGAATGAAGAGATCATAGTGAAAGTCAGCTTTAGGAGTACTTACTAGTTTTGCCGTTTAACTTAATGGTTACTAAAATACTGTGGTATTTTGTAGGTATACCAGGAAAAAGAACGAGCATGGAAAGAAGAACTGGAACATCTACGTTCACGTCTAAGTGCATCCGAAAAAGGTGAAAATGCACTTCGAGCACAATTGGCCGGTTGCCAAAAACAGACGGACACTATGAGTAGGACAATTGATGGTCTTCGGGATGAGAAGACAGGCCTGCTCAGAAAGGTTGGTGCTTGGAACTTGGAAGGGTTACTCAGTAATGTGGTACTGGAAGATCATGAAAGGCGGACCATTCGGATTTCAGTGTTTCCAACTTGAACGTGAACTAGCACAAATGAAAATGGAAATGGATAAGCCACGGGAATGTGACGAATGTCGTCAACGTCATAGTGGGCCATTATCCAGGCGAACACAAGTAAGTTGTAACCAGTTACGAAGAAGTAAACGGAGAGGCCAAAGCAGCTAGTAGTAACTCGCGCTCAAAGCTACGGTAACTCGGGGTTTAGGTTAAGCACGTTGATGTTCCTTTCGTGGTGACCGCTTATCGTCTTTGCGATGAGCTTGTGAAACCGATATACAGTATACTTGTACCTTTATGTAGTTACTAACCTAAGTACCCCTGATGAAGTTGTAATTCTCAACAAAAGCTCGAGATTGGATGGAAATGTGCCAACTTTCTATCGACAGAGATTCTACCTTGCCGAACCCATGAGCTTTTTAAGATTGCAAATCTGGGATAGGTCATAGGTGGATAGGACAACTGTTTAGGGGCCCGCCAGGCGCAGGTAGGCCGTCCCTCTGAGGCTAATCGCATGAGGCATGCCTCTGGTTGCTCCGCCCACATATCCAGGTACTTCCGCCTTCCAGTAATGAATCGGTTTTTGATGACATGATTAATGTGCATCCAAATCATGGCCATTCAATTTGAATTGCAAACCGGTAAGGACCCTTTTTTATGAGTGGTTTCAAGGGATCAAACACAGGAGCGGATGATTACAAAAATAAAAAAAACCTTTTTTGGACCCCTCGCCCTTTAGCCCATCTCACTCATCTTTTCGGTACTGCCACTCTGTGGTGGCAATACGTTGAGTTTATGGGAGGAGATATTGAAAGTTTTACTCAATAAAGTATAGTAACGTATAGAATAGTAAAGTAATTTTCAGGATTCTTCTGATGTGTCTTTGCGCAGTGAGGTTGCAAGTTTGCGCGATGAAGTCGCAACACTCAAGGAAGCGCTCACAGCTCAAATGCAAGTATTCACCGATGAGAGGAAAAAATGGGAGCGTGAGGTTAGAGTTTTGCCATCTGTTGCTTCGTAGTAAAGCACCCTGATTGACTTTCACATGCATACTTTGACCATACTGTGAACTGATAGCCGAACGCTACTGGTGGCCTTTGTCTCCTCTTTATTGCTATAAGGGCACATAGGCACAAGCATGACGCAGTGTAATCTACATAGTGGCCTTGATTGAACGTCAGGGAGTACGGGTGCGCTCCGTTGCGCGCGTCCATCGAAACTAGGTCACGCCGCAGCCGTCGCATGCGACGGGTCGGCCCGCGATACTTGACGGACGTCGCAGTTGTCAGTGGAGCGTACGATTTGCGCTTAGTACACGGCAGTAAGCCAAAGGAAAGATAACACGGACAAATGCAAATCATTCGTTCCACTTATACTTGGTGGTACTGTAATGCCATCCCGAGACCTGAGTGGGGAGCGCCGCGCGTGAAGTGGGCGGAGCGACCTACTTTCGACGGACACGCACAACGGACGCTCTCCCAAGGAGTTCAATTTGCTATAGTAGATGATCGTGGCGTTCCACGGAAGAGACAACATAGGAATGGCGTGGTTGTGCGTGTAAGATAACATAAACATAAGCTGTAAGGGAGCGTTTCCTGTAGGATGTTATATGCTTTGGCAAGAAGAGGTGCAGACCACAAGAGCCTTGACAAAATCCCATCTTCAGTTTTACCTCGAGAAGCGGGTCCAAACTTATGCTCATATTCAGCTTTTTAACTTTGACTCTCGGAACACAGTAGGACCTGGTTTCATAGTTTTTTTCTGAGATTTCCTTCTGTCCCCCTGCTTTTGGAGTACTACTGGATATCCTAATTTTGATTTGGCACAGGTCTAAATTATCATAACATATGACCTGAAAACCGTAAAATCGAACAATTGTTGGCATTAAATTGAAGAATTACATAATGATAGCTTTGAGTCTCCTCCGTCAACACTGTACTGCCTCTCAGAAAAACCGTTCCTTTGGTCCCCATACACCCTGCCGTGACCTACTTAGTGGAAAAAATGGGACCACTTGATATTACAGTTTCAACTATAACTAGTATGACTCTTGTTATGATGGTTCTCTCGTTCTAATTGTTCTGTTACTTGTTATAATGACACCACTCCAAGTCGTCTCATGGTCCATGACCCGCTGTTTGAGCCATGGACCATGTAACGCCCTTTCGACTGCCTATATGTGCTTCAATGGTCTGTAACTACATGGGTTATACAACTTTCAACCGTTTTATGCCTGGGACGTAATAAAGAAACTGCCTGTTTTATTGGGTAGAGAAGTAAATTACTTGGAGATTATTTTTTCTATAACGGTACCTTCACTGAAATTTTCTAAGTTATTCTGACAAAACTTCAATCGAAACCTTGACCAAGGGTGATTGTTGCTTTTATTTTTTGGTTTTCTATTTAACAAATTCATTAGAATTGATTTATAAATTTTACTCGTTGTTTTTTTGGAACGGAATAATAAAAAGTTCCACATGAGCGCAAAATATGTAGGGAAAGTCCATTCACCCACTGAAATTTTGGATGGAACCCGGAGATGTTTTTATGTGAGCACGGCTCTCACCCCATGTGTTCTGTTAATGTCCCACGAGATCCTCCCGGTGACATCAATTGCCCAGGGTTCCTTGCTTGATTGCGTGACAGGTCCGGCCATGCTATTGTCTGAAGGACGTCGCAGATTTCTTCTCTCACCTCTACGAAACCGTAAAATTCAAACAAGAGGAATGAGGGTTTGCTCTCAAGTGTCAACTGCAGTCTTATAGCAATTTTACACCAAACAGGCCCAATGAAGGTGCCTCACTATCTCTGAATTAATGCTTCCTGCTTATTTTTCACTATTTTTCTTGATACATTCCCTAGCCGCCTTTACATCTATGCCTTCTCTTTCGTTTACGCATGATTACAGAAAGCAAGGGAGCGATATAGTATTTTGTGACCCTATTACACCCGTCGTTTCACAATGATAACTCGACAAGTCTAATCACGAATTAATCATTAATCCGTAAAAAAAGGAATTATGTTAAAAAGTAGGCAATTAGCAGCACCTGGTTATTGAGTCCTAATCGGATCCTTTCATTAGGAATTTCGGTGCTAAGTGGGTTGGGGGGGGGACCACGCGGCGCGGCTGCGGCGCGGCACCCTGCGCTCTCCAAGCCCGAAACGGTGTTTAGAGATGTTTCATAGTTTTTTTTATGTTGTAACTGTGTATTTTTCACCTATTTTAGGAAGGGGAGAGGGGCTCCGGGGTGGGAGAGCCAATTGGACGTTCAACTTTTATCTCATATCAGCTTCTTGCACGAGACAACCATCTC